GTTAGGTTAGGTTAGATTAAGTTAGGTTATGTTAGATTAAGTTAGGTTAGGTTAGGTTAGATAATTTCATTCATTGAATGTTTGTATACACATTTTTAGGACACCCTGTACAATTGATTTTAAATGCGATATTATTTATTGTAGTAACGTAATGGAAGATCTACTTGCCTCACGACGCAATGAGCCGCTGTTACCGCCCATCTCCGGCTGATAATGGAAGCCCCGCATTTATGTTCACCTTCAAACTGCAGGGACAGCTTTGAAATTGCAAAGAAACGAATAAATTTATTAGTTAATTTTGCACTGCTATATACACAACAAACTACATTGGCAGTCTACCTGGATAAGTCAGCACTTGTTCACATAATCAAGAAAGTTTCGGCGCGTCCTGAAGATGGAAGTGATACGTCACTCCGAAACATTGGTAATCGCCTACTGCTGAGAAAGCTGTGTTTTACATACCGAGTGAGATGTCAGGTCCTCGTGGCGACGGTTGATTGTCTTACACGGCGTAACATCCCACAAAAACAGTCATTTATAGATAATCTTTACTTTAGATCACAGGAAATATTTCAATTCCTTCCAAAATAAGTCTTACATATTAAGAGAACTGAAGGTCTTTGTAATAATACATACCTGATACGGAATCTTGCTAATGTTGACCAGCTTTCCACCAACTATTCGGACAAAATTCTTATCAGGAGCACCTGAAGAGAACATAGTCGTTCAGTTTCATATTATGGCACGCATTACTTGACTGTAAACCGTGTTACAAAGACTCTGGACCTTTCGTGAATATTTATCGCGTATAGGCTTGCGTTTTTAATGGCGAGTTTCATGAAAATCCAATAATTTGAAAAGTAAAAATTATCAGAATTACAAATTTCAAAGTGGTTGATGATCCATCCCATCGTTCAGACCAAGAGACAGGCAAATTATCTTATGCCACTGTCAGATAAACGTTAGAGACTGAACGGATTAGCTGCATTTCGCTTCAAAGGAAAAATGTCACGGTATTAACTTATTAATAAAAAATTTCACTGAAGGTACGCGATCTCTGGGTTAATAACACGACTTTCTGGACGCGGCGTGGAGGAAAATTCTAGACACAGATACCAGATACTTAGTTATAAAGAATCCGCCGAACGTTTGCTAGACATGCTTCACGTGGCACATTAACATTTAAACTTTAAGAATAATTAAGAATAATACTCACAGAACGAATAATAAATACTGAAAAATATTACAAGAGCTGTTACACTTTCCACCCTCATCGCTATTTAGACGTAACTAACTATCGGCACTCTGCTACCACCACGCAGCATGCAGAGATAACACTGTTTGCGCTAAGCTTACTTACTAAGCCCTAAGACTGCACACTTAAGCAGCGTAATTATATTGCCCACGAATTTTATTTGCAACTTCTGCTTTTCGTCATCTTTACACTGGGGCATATTTTTGGACAAGGCCCCTATTTTATTAATTTAATGTTTTCAATCTAATCGATCCTGACAAAACTAGGCCAACTTCCGAAACGTCGTGTGGTTTTAAAGATGAAAATCATGTACGCGCTTCTCATCCCCCTCATGAGTGCCACGTGGCCCGTTCGCAACGCCGTGAAAATCGAGGCGGTATGCTCCTCCGAAACGCTGCTATCCGCAAGTCCAGACGGTGTTACAACCCAGAAGACGGAAGTCTTAGAGCGAGAGCACGAACTTCGTCTAAATAACATTTAAGAATCCAGTCCGTACCGCGAAGAAAACACAAGACTTCACCATTGAAAAGATCAACTAGTTAACGCCGTTTAAGGAAATAATCGCTGTTTACAGTGAGAATCACGTGAAACTCATAGATACACTGCGTAGGCGTCTAGATAATATTTAAGAATCCAGTCCGTACCGCGAAGAAAACACCACACTTCACCATTACAAAGATCAAATGGTTAACGCCGTTTAAGGAAATAATCGCTGTTTACAGACAGAATCATAAGAAACGTATTAATACAAGATTTTAAGAGTTGATTATTGTTAAAGTAGATGGTACATGCAGTTACCATCGGGCTTTAAAGGGTTACCTTCGTGGAAATTGAAGTGTAAACATGCTGGCAATTAAAAATGACGTATTAATTTAAAAGGAGGTACGCATTTGTTTGTCAGACGCGGCGTGGCATTCTTCGCCAAGTTGACCCTGATCTTGTGTACGATCTCCTGACTGCTTCAGATAAGAACATTCATTTGTTATCTTGAGTATCTGACAGAAAAATAACCTGCAATGGCTACATTAATTATCAAATTAGGAAATAAAGCCATGCCTTATCTCAAATAATAACGTAGCCTCTTTAAAGGGAATGGCTGAGGAAGACCACGAAAATATAAGCCAGAATACCCGGTGCAGTGTCAATGGAACGAACTTTGTAGCTCCAAAATAAAACCACGTCATGAGTACTTAAACTACGACGAAAGAATTATATTTAGTTTGTTGCATTTTAAAATGCAATTTGGTGTCTTGATATTGCGGGAAATCTTCTTCTTAAAATTTTCAACATCGTGACACTCGCGAGAAAATTAGGTAAGTTATAAGATATTTCTTTGCATTCGTTCGAATAACAATAATTAATATTTACAAACTTATTCTGAAGAGTGTTTACGCAGAAAAATATCTCACTGATACGCGACACAACGAGTGACGCGTACATGATCACTTCAGACTTTGTAACAAAAATGTCACTTCAGTCGTCGAGAATTACGTGGAAAATCCCTGAACGTACTGACATGACAGACAGAACACTTGCCTTTCAAGTGGCGCGGATAACTTAAAGAGTGCGATATCGCCGTATGTCAACTTGTGGTCCTTTATGTAGTAAAAATAGACAGTTTTCAATGCGATTAAACGCAGGCTACACCTCGAAACGAAGGTCAATAATGTCGGATTTATTTTATGATATGATCACATGACCACTGACATATATAAATATATCGCAGATGGCCCGTTGCAACCAAGTTTGGGCTAGAACTGTCACGATGCGTCTTCTGGTTCTCTTGGCTGCACTGGCTGCGTGTGGAGCAGGTAAGCAACAGATATTCAAGATTAAGATTGGTTGGACTTGTAGCATGCAGTTATACATTTCCATTTATAAATGTCAGCCAATAACATTTTTCAACGTCCACTTTAATATTATCCTTCACTTACAACGATGAGAGTACTTACTAATGATGTCATCCAATCCCAAATCAGAAGAAACCCGCAAAGTTGTATTTTACTCAGCTTCAAGGAAGAAATTTTCTAATTGAAACTGTACAGAAACAATAGATTACAGTATCGATATATTTTTAGCCTGTTATGTCGATCTTTGAACTCTTTAAAGGAAATTGTTGTGATAATTATTTCAGGTGTTCCTCTCACCTCCCCCCGGCCTAGACTCGACGGACGCATTGTCGGCGGTTCGACAACAACAATCGACAGTTTCCCCCATCAGGTACGACCAATAACCTAACCTAACTTTTGCCGACTGGTACGAAGTGTCTGAACACGATTACATTCCTACAATACGCATTTAATTTTCAGCTGTCGCTGAGGTATGACTCATCTCACATCTGCGGTGCGTCGGTAATCAGCACGACCTGGGCCGTCACTGCAGGTCACTGCATCGTCGGGTAGGTTTGGGTCAGAAAAGAAATTAACTCTAGCAAACTGCGCTGTCAGCAAATGTCGAAGGCCTTCGAAAGTAATCAGATGTTTACTTCAAACAGTGGCGTAGTATAACCCGTCTAAGTTGGCGGGATTTAATACTTCTTGTGTGTTGAGCAATGAAACAAGTTATCACAGCATTATCTAAAAAGTACAAAATTTCTTTATGAAGTAAATTCGATGTGAAAACATTTTCACGGCAAATGAAACCTGATTTCTATCAAACACAAAAGAGGTCGCCAGACTCCAGACGCACATAACCTCAACTTCGTTCACACTTTTTGCTGAAACAGTTGCCACCAGAGCTTAATTCAGATTGAGTGTCAAGGAGCACGTTAATTACTGGATTTCTTCTGGTGGGAGAGGGTAGACTTTGTAACATTACGTTTCATTAACACGGTGCATAACTCAGATTGTACTTGCAGGGCCGCCAGTCGGCTGTCACTACGAGCAGGCTCCACTTATTCCAACTCTGGTGGAACGGTTCATCAGGTGTCCCAGGTCATCAGACACGCATCGTACAACGAAGACACTATCGATTACGACATCGCACTTCTCAAGGTCTGTGCCTTTAATACGAAATGCAATGAATAAATTTGACCTTCGTCGATAAAGTTTAGTTTAAAGGCAGCTGTCATCTTAAGGAATGTTGCGCTGTGTAGTCTGTTAGATATTTACAGACGTTTCATCAGCATCGCCGGAGTAAGCACCTCTGAAACGTCGGTCAGTTTATCCCAGTAGACATTGGAGTGAATTCAGGTGACTGGGGGCAGAGACCAATGGTGTGCTCTTGTGAACATGGTAATAAGACTTTTCACTTCTTCATATTCCAGGTCAGCAGCGCCTTCAGCCTCGGCACCAACGTTCAACCCATCGGATTGCAGAGCTCATCTGTGTCTGCTGGAACCAATGTCGTGGTCAGCGGATGGGGAACCACTTCTGTAAGAACTACATTTAACGCCTTGCTCCAAATGTTACATCCTACATGTAGATGCACACCGTTAACAGAGTAATCCACATTAAATACCGATATCGGTACGCACTGTGGAGGAACAGCTCCATACATTCTAGTTGGCACTAGATGGAGCGGTCTGTATAATAATGCAGAAAGGGCCCCTTGTACTATAATCTGATGGATCAGCGGATGTGCCTCATTGTTGGTCTGGGGTGGTGCGAACATGTAACTGATGGGAATCCAAATCCAGTTCCTCAGCCTCAAATCCATTAATACACAAACTGGGCTCCACGTTTGTTGTTTTGCAGGAGGGAGGTTCCGCCAGCACCACTCTGCGACAGGTGACCGTACAAATAGTGAGCGACTCCTCATGTAACAGCGCCTATTCTTCATATGGAGGTATCACTGCACGCATGATTTGCGCAGGAACCTCTAATGGGGGCAAGGATGCATGCCAGGTACAATTTGGTGGAAAATCAGAATTAATTCAATTATGACTGTGAAATCAGGGTTTAAAGATATTTTCAGCCCCTTTTTTTTAACAAATCCTAAAGCCAGAATGAACGTGCACTACCAAGCATTAGATACGCACGGCCTCTCCGACTTCAGCACGTACAGCGCATAAAAATATAGAAGTGAAAATCCTTGCAACATAGTCCATTTTAAATCAGGCCAGTTTCATAGCTTTTTTTTTAAATCCATTCACAAATTTGAAAAATAAATCCAATCACACAAAACTCCAGCTCACAGCATCCATGCAAGAAGACATTTTAATCTGCGTAGCATTTACAAGAGACATACTTGAAACCTCCGATTCCTTCCTCTGCTGCAGTTAAGTTTCTGAATACACCCTCGACTCTAAGTCATCACAGCGTGGCAAAGGGAATTCACGGTTCTGCAAATTTATTGAATACGTCTTCATTTCAGGGAGACTCCGGTGGCCCACTGATTGCCAATGGCAATCTTGTTGGTATCGTATCCTGGGGAGTAGGATGTGCTCGTGCCAACTATCCGGGAGTTTACACCAAAGTTTCTTCTCTACGCAGCTGGATACAAACCAATGCAGGGGTCTAAACATTACATCAGAGAGGCTCTAACTCGTTCAATGACATAAAATTATATGTTGTCTCACCACGATTATAAATAAAACAGCACAGAACAAATAAAGGCAATCACATAACAAAAAGATGTCACATTTTCTAACGTACATTCCTCAGAACTTGACGACCAGACCGCTATCACATATCTGCGCGCAGTCAATTTGTTTGACATGTTCAGAACTGACGTAAGCCAAGTAGCTCAGTCAGAACATTGGCTAATCTGCATGCTGGAAAACCAGGGTTCTATTCTGGCAGGGGCAAGAAACTTTACTCATAACCAAATCCAGACTGACTCCGGGGTCCTAGCCTACCACCCCGGGCTCTTCCCCAGGGGATAAGGCGACCATTCCATCTAGTGTCGAAGTCAAGAAACAGTGAAGATATTCCTCCACTACCCCTAATGTTAACGTGGCGATTAATAAGTACCAGAAACAACTTACCTTATGTTGCAAACTAACATCTTGTACAGTTGTTTTAAAACATCCCAACAAAAATCATCATCCGTCACTTCAAGACGACAGCTGATATTTGGTGCACCAAGCAGCTTCTTAACAGAACATCAAAGTCAGGAAGAGATCGCTGAATTGCTCATTCCCCCGTCTGCAAATCAACTTTTAATTTTTCATACAGGACACAGGACACTTCATGCCCCCGACAGCCTCCAAAATGATCCCAAGAAACGGCATCAAGATGGGTGCGACGTTCTCGACAGACAGCTCACTGCAACATCATGCAGATAATGCAATGAATTCAACTTGTAACAGATTCCTGTCCAGACACTGACAGCAATTTTCTCATGCACATAAATTCAGAAACATTTTAAACTGAATAAATACAGTTCTTCACTTACTCAACAAATTAAAAGACAATTCCCCCCAAAAAAGATGAGTTGAAACACTATTCATATTACGAACAGCTTACATTTTAAAAATTAATGTATATACAACACAAAATAATTATAACATACATAAACATTTATTTTGGAAGTTACATATTCAGATTTTATTTTTAATTGTACAAAATACAGATAAATGTATATAAAATGCTTCAAAGTTTGTGAAAATGCAGTATATTTCATAATCACACTGTACATTACAACAAAGGAATCAACTTCAGGGGGACACGGCCTTCTTCAAGTCTTAGTAATTTCAAAAAAAAATCCTGTGTTTCACACAAAAATTCTTTAGTACAGAGTGTTTTGTTTGCCAAATGGTTCTAACAAAACCCGAGGGTATGCAGTTAATTTCAATAACGTAGACGGCCGTCTTCTGGGTTGTTGAGCAGTGTAGTCTGGTAGAAGTTCACAAATAATGTAACATTCAAGATCACAGCACAAGAACCAGCTTACAGTATTCTGCAAGGATCCATCAAAACTGAGAAAGATATTCAGAACAAGAACACGATACACCTGGACACTAGAAACAGCACAATCAAAACCACGTACATGAATAATCCGTTCTACATCGTGCATTGTTTGAGACACAAAGAATGCCCCAAAAATACGTATACACAACAGCAAGTTTGGAGGCTGCTCGTCAGTCAGTCTCACCGCTGTTAATTGTGCCACGTAGTTAACTGTGGTCATTTTTGAACACCTATATATACTACATTCGCTAATTCACCAAATGCCATTGGTGATATAAAATGTCTGAATGTATGTACACATCTATTTGGGGCATCCTGTATTTGGTACACATGACATTTTGAGAGTTGGCTCTTCTCTCATTTTCCAGTGACGAGTTGTCATTATACAGACAGACTGTTCATTAATTTTTTTATTTCAATAATACTGGTGACAGCTGAGACCTTTAATATTAGGCTACGCCATCAGACCACCGGAAGCTCGGCACACTGGCGTAGTTATCAAAAGAAGGTGGTGACTGTGGTCAAGATACTATGAAAATGGAGGTAACTGACTGTGGTCAAGATACTATGAAAATGAAGGCAACAGTCATTCAAAACACTGGTAACAACCTACAAGACTAATTGGCATCACTGCCCGGAGACGATCCACAAAAGGTCTTAGGTTTGATCACAAATTTTCCATTAATGTTTAAAGAAGTGATAACATAACAGTCGCCATAACAACACCTCAACAAGTATGCTTAATTCCTTAAACAACATGTGTAGCAAATATATCTCAGATAATGACGATATATAACACAATATTCACACACATATTGAGGCAACAACTGTCGCAAACCTTCAGCGAATCACCGAACCACGGAGAAATTACCTATTTATACCACTTCAATGATTTCACATTGTCTAAAATCATTTTAAACATTTTGAAAAAAAACATGAAAATACATACATATCACGAAAATGTTATTGAACTATGCAAATTATCACGTTATTAGATTATGCTCTTTTCGCATACTTACAAGCAATACCTGATTTGTGGCAAGCTGTTTCGCAGTATGGCAATTCTATCACATAGAATTTGATTCCGGTACCGCACTCTTAAATAAATGTGCAACATGACATAAAAGTAACTTTCACTGCTACATATTGGTAAGTTTGATTAAAAAATCAAAATGGTAACTGTCTACTGGTTCAGAAAAGAAAGAAAGGCCTTACCTGTTATTTCCTTAAATAAACAGAAATGTCACAAAAATATTAAAGAATCTGAGATAAATGTACTTACAAAGCCAACTTGTATTCTTTGGTAATAACAGTACTTGTTCAGTTTGTTAAACCTTAAAAATTAAGTGACAAATACAAAATGGAAACATCTTAGAAAGAAGAAGGAAAGGTTGATAACTCAGACCATAATGAACATTAATCTCCACATTCCATTAATTGTCGAAATACCTTATGTCAAAATTAATGAAAATAGGAAATGAAAAAATAATAAGACATTAAAATTACCTGAAAAAATATGACAAATGCAACATTACAAATTATTAAACCATAAATGAAATAAAATATACATTGTAACTAACAAATTCCATTGTGCATTTTACAGCCATCTCAAACAGAAATCAAAGTTTAAGAAGAGATGACAAAACCTGGCGATATCTTGTAATATAGAACTAAACAAAGATGACATTCATTGAATGGTTTAGGGACAAACAGCAAATCCATTTGTGTCTGTAAAATAAGACTGTCAGCAGACGGCATGGAACACCCAAACATACTTCATAAAGTCTAGTTTACCTAATCTACGCACCTTGGCACACAACCAATAAAAATATCATAATCAATAATACATTCAAATAAACAATTAAAAATATGATCATAAATAATAAAGGCCAATACTGTTTAACAGGAATTCAGTACGACCATTCACCCTAAATTACTCCGTACAGAACGAATAAAAGCTGGTTTATTGACTCTCCTGTTTCAGTTTTGCCGTGTACTCTCGTACGCATCTTACGTAATCCAGCATAGATGCGGTGAGCGCCGCATCGACAATGGAATGTGGCAACCAGCCTTTTAAGTTAATGTTCAGAAGCCACTGGAAGACGCATCGATTTTCATCGCCTGCAACGGGTCGCATTACCCAGCACGTAGGTCCATTCTCCCCCCTGCCAAAAACACACAACGTACACACAATATTCCCTGGACTTTGTCACAATCATCACAGAAGTTCACAACAGGATGACCCAACCTCAAGCCAGTTCAGTCCAGTTCCTTCACAATCTCTTTCTCAAAGATCCATTTTAATATTGCCTTTCCAGTTACATCATGATCTTCCAGACAAACCCTTCCCATGGCATTTCTAAACCTAAATTATGCGAGTACAGTTACGTCCGATGTTCCCAAAAAACATATCTTGACAAATGGTGAAACGTAACTCGACACTGCACTTTTATGGTGAGACTAACAGAAGTTCTGGTATAATGAAATTTAATTTATTTCACTTGTAAAATGCTCCAGTTAAACTTCTAAAAACTACGTACACTAATATTTTCACGATGATTTATTCAAGAACATCGCTCATTTTAAAAAATAAATTTTAAACGATCTCTTCTGTCACTGTAAGCCTTTTGAATGAGCAAACGCTGGAAACAGAGTACATTCTGTTTCCTGAAAAATCAGCCTTCATGTCATGATGCTACGGACACAACGTACCTGACATACTGTTTGACTGGCGGAACACTAGGATGTTTCACAGAAACCCCTGCGGACACATAACAACCATCCTTCATTCCCCAGTGCCGCAAGTTCACAAAATCTCTGCTGGATACAATACCACCTCCAACTTCCCTCGCAACTTGGTAGTTGATGTCAGTATGGTCATCTATTACCTAATAAATTCAAGTTTTTACAGATTACAATATCATCAGGACAAATAAATTATTTAAAAGCTGTAGCAAGGGACCAGAAAGGAAATGGTTGATGTGTTTTAAAATATACATAAATATCAGACTATAAACCTCTACGTTTAGAGCACACGTCTACATTTGACTATTACGTACTAACCTGTACTGTACGTGTCTCTAGAATTGTTGGATTCCATTCAGGATGATTCTCAACTTTATCGAACAGTTCATTCAGCAACCGTTTCGGAGGAAAATCTATTGCTCCCTGCAATCACGGGACAAATATATTTTAAAATAACCATACTGATTTTTTTTTTTCCTGTAAACATACGTACCAATATTAAGTTCACTTCTGGACACAGTCCATGCTACCTGAGGTAAGTTTCACGCCCATTTCAGAAATATCTACTTCCACCTTAACATTTACCATAAAACTAATATAACACATAACATGGCAACAGAATTAAATTTCAAAATATTGTAGGTCACAAGACACTTTTCACAAGGTTCCCTTACCGAGATTCTTTAAATGACACTCCTTTTCATTCACTGATGACAACAAATTGCTTATTTCCTCAATCTAGATATAACAGAATCCAGAAAAAAAAAATATACTCACAGTAAGTTTCAACACCTTTCCTGCAAGAGGCATTTTCTTGCTGTAAACTGCGTCTCCTTCTGGCGTCTCCTTTTCTAACTTCCAGTCAGGAGAGTTCAGTATTCTCCAAGAGACCTCTAAGACCTCTTGACCTTCTCGTCTGTACTTCATGTCCTGCAATTCAGCAGCCCCCATGTTCCAGAACACTGAGTTTTAACTTCAGAAATATGACTGTAAAGCCGGCTAAAATTTCTATTATGCGTAACATTAAAATGTACTGTAATAGACATTCTGTATCAAGCGTTCACAACAGTTTAAATGATTCAGCTGATCATGCCATATATCCTTTTCAAAAAATCTCCGGAGTCCAAATAAGATCACCAACTTCATGAAGCAAAGTCGTTTTTGACAACAACACAAATGTTTTCAAATAGAGTTTCATTAATTCTAGAGACAGCTACTGTCAGTGTGTCCTTCAACTAAAAGTTTGAAATTAGCTTTTTTTAAAAGAAAGATTTGAGATTCTCATGGCAGGGGAGTATGAAGATGGTTAACTTCTGGGTTTAGAATCATGTAGTCTGGGTGGTGATAGATGCATTCATCACCGTGATGACGGAGGTATCAAGGGCCTCTAAAACGTCTACCAGACTATGCGGCACTAAAACCGAGAAGACAGCCATCTTCATTTTTATATTTTATTTTTTATTTTTTTAGTTCTACCTGCGATAAGGCTCTTCCTCTAGCTCCAGACCTTCGGGTATCTCCTTCTTCATCGGAACCTACAAAATATTTCAGACGGAATAAACCAACATTTGTACCCCATGCCCAGAAACAGTGACAAGAATTTCATGTTAGTGAAATGCCAAAAAAATTGGAAGGATAGTTTCCAAAAAAATAAATAAAACAGGTTATATCAGACTTTTGAATTACAATATTTTACAATTAAATAACTGGATTAATTAAAAAAATACCATACTGGCTCAATTACGAGAAAATGTTTCTGCTTGTTACGCCATACTACTCATAAAATTTCACAATACTGAATTTTCTTCTCTCACGTGGTTTCTGAAAATGTGGGTTGTCTTATATCTGTGCCTGAACTGTAATGGGGCCAATACGGTACCGTAAATCTACAGAAACTACTGTGAAAACTCAAAATGTCCACTTACATCCAAGTGTCCCTGCCAGTTAGAAACAAAACAAAAATGCAAGTTAAACTAGAGACAATCAATAAAAATACTTCACGTGCAATAAAATTCATTGTACAACTTGCAGTCTGCTTCATACATTTCAATTCTATGTTGATTTATAGAAAAATTGTCACCTTTTGAAGTAATTTCTAAATTCTAAATTTGCAATATTTACACAAATTCTTTAAAAATATGTCTAATTTCAAACAACTAGGTGAAGCAATAAGACTATATGTGACTTCATAATGAAATTAAGAAAATGTAAACTCTGTACAATTATCATAATCATCATTATCATCACTCTTTACCACAAAAACACATGTTGTTTGCTGTCCACAAATGTAAAGGTCGCTTTGCATATAAGTTTGTTTTACAATTTACATGTACATGAAACTAGCTTCATACTCTGATACATGGACAACAAACATAGAAAGCACAATAGAAAATACAGCTCGCCACCCCAAAATCAAGTAAACAAAATAAATATAGGCTGCCACGAAAATCAAATCTGTGCCACTGTGGGCACAAGGAACGAATACAAAGTCTTAGTACAGAATCCTCTCGCATAAGAACAATTTAGAAAGTGAAGTATAAACGGGTCACGGTTATCGTGCTGGAGCAGTGAATTTACAGCTAACTTGCAAGATTTAACTAGCATGAAAACTGAAAAAAAGGAAGTACGTCTTCGGAACCGTTCAGGCTCAAACATTCCAGCAAAAAAAAAAAAGCATTTTAATAAAAATATTTTGCTGAATTATCCTGGTGTTACTTCTTTACTAGTATAAAAATTATTGTTTCCAACAAAGTTGATACAATGCCAATATGAAACATAATATTTACCCAAATCAAAACAAACAGCACTCACTTATCAGGAAATGTTTTCCTTCCCCAAAACACAGGTCTATATAGGCTGATTTTGTGCTTTGGGTACTGAAATTTGGTAGTCATTTGTTTCACCATCCAATATTGGAAGGAACAGCCAATGAAGGTCAGAAAAAGGGCTGTAATGGGGTAGACCAGAGTCCACTGATGGACTTCACATTAGATAATCCCTTGACACAGATAACTTTCTGTAATTAACATACTTTGAGGAGAGTCCATTGGGGAATAGAAGTTTCCAATGGATTCTGTGTAGTCATCAATCCGTTGTAAACCTTGCAAATAATTTCCCAACAGTGGAGCCCTCTCAGATTGATATGAAGAAACACCTGTAAACATTTTGAAAATAAATATTCTGATGATGAGCAAAGATATATAAGAAAAAAAAACTGAATTTATCATTTTATCACAATGTTCATATAAAATATTTAATACATACAAAAATTAGAAGAAAAATACAAGCGACAAATAAAAGTAGATATGATACACTCTGAAAACTAAAACCTAAGGGTTTTGACTACAAAGGAGATCTAGGAGCAGATGGGAGGATGACATCAAAATTTATCTTGGAAAATCAGTGTGTAAGGGTATGGAACGGTTTGGTCTGGTTTAGGTTAGGATCCAGAGGCGGAGTTTCATAAAAAATGTTATTAACCTTAAACCTTTAACAGGTAAGTTTCTACAGGAGAGTTACATAAACAGGTTTTAATAAAGAGCACACAGATTTGTCTAAATCTGTATAGAAACACATTAATTTTATGACGTTGTACCTCCCAGTAAAAATATGCCGAAAGTTACAATATCGATGCAGTCATCAAAAGTTGATGTGTGCCTCTATCAAAACCTTAATTTAACAAATGTAAAATGTTTGTTGCGGCAGAGCACACATAAGTGCAAGAACTACACTTCTTGCAAAAATTAAGGGTAAAAAGGAATTTCAAAACAGTGTAGTTCTAATATGAACACAATGTCTTTATTTTTCTAGCAAAAAATACCAGAAGACAGTAACAAATTATTATTATTACACCTGTGAATTTACAATTTTTAACATCTCATGAAGAATTAACAAAATAAAAAGTTACGAACATTTGATTCCTTAACTAAACACTAAATATTCACATCTCTCACCTTGCAAATACTCAATGGCTTGTAATTCCTGAGGTAAAACTCGGAAATCAAGAAACCATGCCTCACCCCAAGACAGCACAAATGAGATGAGGACCAGCAGAACATGGAACACTGGCTGATTCGCCAATGTCCACTGTGTTAAAAATATACATATGTTAGGTAAATACTGTAATTATTTTCACAATAAAACAACGTAGTTACAATCAATTCAATTATTTTCCCACTAAACCCATGGTATTACAGTGAAAACAGTGGGAGTAATAAAGTCGTAATGCACAATGTAAATGAAAGACGTAATCACGTCTCATTCGAGGAAATAAGCAGTAGAACACAATAAAACATAGTGGGTGAGGTGGGGGTATGAAGATGGCTGTCTTCTGGGGGTTGTAGCACTGTATAGGCTGGTATAAGTTTACTAATTTCAGAGGTCCTTGCTGTCAAACACAGCCAGCTCCACACCCATCGCCTTAAGAACGCCAAATCCTAAAACGATTGTCCTCTTGTAATTTAACAAATTCTGTAACGCACTGCAGAATGTGAAGTAGTCAAACACATATGGAGCAAGACATGTTTCCAGCAGCCATCACCAATAAAAATGTTTTTGTCTCTAGTGTTTTCAGCGAAACAATCCCCCCCCCAAAAAAAAACGCATTTCAGCATCAGTTACGCAGTTTAAGAGTGGAACGCAATGGATTCATCTTCTGAAATGTGTTCACTGACCAAACCAATTTTAAAATTGTGTCTCTGTTCTAGAGGTATGGAGCATATAATTATAATACAGAATGACGCAATCCAGTGAAAAAGTAATAAATCTAGTACTGCAGTCAACTGTACTGTACTACCTGCTCTGCTTTGTCCCCCCCCCCTTCTGTGGTTCTATTAGTGAGAAACTTCACTGAATAGTGGAAAAGGTACAAAAATTTGCCCAGGAGTCTAACTTCATCGCCATGATACACACGTTCCTTTTAAAAAAGAGAATTTTCTTAAATTATAAATTCCATTAAAAAAGTGTGCATTCAAATTACTTCCTTCACAAAATAACCCCACTAAACATATGCACTTAAGTGCTTGTAGTGACCCCACAAATACATTGAAAATGCATATAATACTCACATTGTACACAAATACTTTGCCAATAAGGAAAGCACACGTCCCTGCTGTACTAAGCTGCAGGAAGAGAAAAATGACAGACAGGATTATAGAAACTATCAAGTGACACCTAACCTCACATTCTCGAAGTACAGAAGGAATATGTGGAAAAAAAACTACCATAAAATGAGCAGGAATAAAGCGACAAATTATGTTTCCCTCAACTCGTTCAGCAAATCAACATTCTGGAACAAATATTAACAGATGATGAGAACTGGGTCTTCCAGTATGACCAGGAAACAAATGCCAAAGTTTCCAAAGAAAATTCCCAAGTCTCTAAGCAAACAAAGCGTAAATTCAAAAACAAGGATCAAAATAATGCTAATCTACTTTTCTTTCCCTCCAAAACAATTAACTACAAGTTATGGAAGATTACAACAATGGATGATGACATGTGACACGAAAATGTTATGCTCTTCACAACAATAGTAAAATTGATTTTGTATTGAATATTTTCAGCAATGTCTGTGCCCATTTAAACGAAGTCCAAGCAAGAATAAACACGTGAAACCGTGTTTTACACAGCACAAGAAAGTAAAATTATACAAAAATGTGAACAAGTTCAGACACACGAACTGAAAATGTTACATTTAGTCTGTCAACTGCAAATTTAGAAGCAACAAATGTATACTTACAGCAATCACCCACCAGTGACAAATATATAGGAGGCCATAGAAGAGCAGCAGAAATGTGAACCTGCACGTTGCAGCCATCTGCACCAGAACAAGTTTCGTTAGTCTGCAATTACACTTTTACTAGGAACAAGCGAAAAATCACAGACACCAAGCACAGATATGAGACGACATCATGAAAGAAAACAAAGATGCTTTTCTTCCCCCTGGGGTTCAATCCCATTTGAAAACAGACTACGTTAAATATCATACATGTCTACAAGTATGTTTTGTTGGTCACTGGTGTGAAACCCGTTAAAATTTAAATTGAAAGTCTCTTAATCATTTATATAAACTTTGTTGTAATTCTAGTTTGAATAAAACATTAAGCATGAAATGTCAACACAAGGGAGAATAAAGGAGAGACTGAGAAAAAACAGGCTGTGACTTTCTTTTATCAGCTGAACAGATGTGCCATTCAAGTTAACATAAATACAATGGATTTTATAAGAAGATGGTCAACCATGACCGTCATTACGTTTCACCTAGACCAAAATCACTGTAAACTGACACAATCCAATTTACTCAAAAAGTTACTCCAGTCTTAATATTCAAGCTCCACTTTAAATATTCATATTTTTGTCATTTTTACGTGACCACAAGTACGAAATTGTTTCGTTTTATCCAAACACAAGAGCAAAGATACTATATTTGTTTGCCTCCAATTTTATTAATTATTTGTGAGTGTATGAACTTGTAGATTTTGCACGACACCAATTTTCATTATGAAACACAGGTTAGCAAAATTTTGCACAAAAGAGACCAAACTATTACTACTATTAAAGATATCACTTACCACTATGTCAAACAGAGACGTGTGAATGTTATAATGTACAATTTGTTTCGACAGAGCAGACACTATGTCATCTCCATTCAGCTGCAGAATAGAAAATCTTCAGTAAAACACAAATGCACATATGTGCAGAGAGAATCAACAGTTTGGTGGATAGATTATCTTCTGAACAATAACAGAAGATTTAGCTCAAGAAATATATCAGACAAAAATAAAAAAAATCATATTACTGCAGTGCCATCATGTTGAATGTGAACATGTATTTATAGTAGATAAATTACACAGAGTTCCTCATTATGCAACAAGTAAAATTGGAATTTTTACCATGCAGCCTGGTAGATACTGACCAACATTTCTGATGAGCTTCCTGTCTCCACCATCAGGGTAATATCTACCAAGACTGCACAGCATAACATCCCAGCAAACAGTCATCTTCAGTGAAAATCTTGGTTCCAGAAATAACAGCTGATTAACTACCTCTCTAGCTCTAGAATGCAAAATTTCTTCAGCCATTCCTATCTGAAAACCTATTTACCTATCACCTATCTGATATCATCCCTCCTTCTCCTTTTCGGTCTTCCAAGTGGCTGCTCTCCAAGAGGCTTTCACCTAAATTTCTGTATGAATTTCATATATTTTCAATCCAAGCCACATGGCCAATAAAAATTATGTCCTTTACAACTTAACAAGTCCCCATAAATTCATATACTAACCAGGATAATGATTAGCCACATAAGAGTTATGAAAAGAAGGTCAAAAGTGACAAAAAGGCAGAAGAATCTCCTAACAACAGACATGTGGCCACTTCTCTGCATGCCAGTAACTACGTCTTCAGTTGCATATCGTGTTGCCTGGGAATTAAAGTTTTGTTCTGCGAAAAGAAACCAAAAGGACAAAGACATTTATTGCAACTTGAAAATACTTTATGCAGATATGGTTAATGTGGGTTCATATTCCTTAATTCCAGACAACAAACACGGCAGATAAAAATAATTCTTTATTACACACTGTCATTAATTTATACAATCAAAAATGGTGAATCCAACCATCTTAAAACAGAAGTTAACAAGCAGCAAAGTACAACCCACTGATTAAAAAAATACAGCTTTGCAGTGTTATAAAGTACCATAACCTCAAAGAAATGGTTACAGTAGCTGCTCTCCACCCCACATTAAAAGTGAGGGGATCAGAGCCATGGAAGGGATAATGGGTAAGGAAGCACATACTGTCTGTACTACAAACATTATTACCCGGAGGCTATGCTTCGTAGATCGCTGTCACGTCGGAAATGCCTTTGGTTTACATGTTTTGTTTTCTTTCTATCCAATGTTAGAGACGCAGTCGAAAAACACAGTCTCGTCTCTGCTACTGTACATAGTTTCAGTAAAACACACTAATAATATACATATGCTCAGCAATCAGAACTGTCACAGTGACAAACAATAACTGATAAATTTCCTAACATAATGCAGAAGTCATTTTTACTACTCCCACTTCAGACAAGCAATGCTATAAGCAAATTGCTAAACTAACCTTACATTATCAGCTGTGCTATGTCACTACATAAAAACCTCAGTCAGTATAATCAGTCTCTGGTCTGAGATCTGAACCCAGGATCTTCTGAACACACAACAGGAGTGCTAACCACTCAACAGTGTGCACATCTGTGTGTGTGTGTCTGTGAGACCAAAATGACAATGGAAATATCTTACAGTTTCTTCTAATGTTGGATTCACTGCATATTGTTACGGGTAGATGTTTTGTCCGATGTAAATAGCATGACAGAACTAGAGTTAGCAAAACTAAACAAGGGGGTAGGACATGATATTTCAACTAGCAAGCTAATGAAGTTTTATATAAAGATCTGACAGTCACTTACGAAGCTGTGATGAAGGTTGCTGATTCGAAGTGCTAGATGACAGAAGGGCTTCTGCAGCAGCTCTGATTTCTACTTCAACATTCATTTTATTAAACTGCCTGCAAATCAAATTCCACTTAGCAGGTTAGGTAGGTTACAATAATTTCTTGGGCTAATACATGTAAATAAAGTACAAGTTATTCAGACTTCATAGTGGAGGGAAGTTTATAGAATAGCTAAATTCCAGTACAGTAAACTCCTTTCTGACATTTATTGAGTTCAATGTTTGGCATATGAAGGTTATATCTGTATCTTGTACTTATACTGTGGATATCTGAGTTACTTTTCAAAGGCAAAAATTCTTTCATTTAGACACGACCGTAACTAGATACTAACCATTTTTCTACAGACAGAACGAACAGAAACAAAATTACGGCTATTCAAATGCGTTTTACAAGCAACATTTGGCCCTCCAACATAACTGTACGGCTTTTTTTTTACTGCTTTTCATCGGAAAGGTATTTGTGCATCCATAAACATGATTTAAAAAATATCCGTCTTTACTTGTCAAAACATAAGGCTCTTTAATTTTCAAGCTGTGATTAATACATTTCTTATGTGTATTTACTTGTTACAATTGTTCCATTAGTATAATTTCCCCATACTCTTCACTGGAACAAAGAAAACCAAAATTTATAAAAATATTATTCTTTATAATGTACATCCTTAACCACTCACGAAAAAAGACTGGTCACAGGTTATACAAAAAATAGGTACGTAACTATAGCTCCTACGGATTACCAACCTGAGGAAAGTATTTGTGCTCCTTCATTTTCCCAAATAATATGGAATAATGACAACACCCTACTTGAAGAGGTTCCGAAGGCCTAGCTCGAACTCGAGGAGGTTTGAGGTTACATACTTAAAACGGAAAGTGAATTAACCTGGCGACCTGTATATTGATATTCACCAAGTAAAATAATCAATATCCCACACTTTCAACAAGAAGACTTACATGTATGCTAAGAAGAGCCATTTAATTTCATTGTTACTGTAGCAATGCAACATTGCCAAAAATCAGTAGTGCTGCATATCCAATGATTCATGCACAGGGGCATAACGCATTTAAATTAACAAGAAATTTACATTATTTTTAAATTATAAATCTTACATGGAATGATTATAACTTTATGCAGGACCATCTGCGCATCACTGATCCAACTAAACCTAACCTAAACCAAACCAACCAGCCTCTTCACAAATTATTCAATTCCTTTATCAGAGTGTTTGCCAACAGCAAAGAGCCTATGACAGGCAAACACACACACACATGTGCACATATTTAACAACTAGAGAATGGCTAGATGTAAATTAATTAGATTGTGTGTGGATGTTATGTTGTAGGCGGCACACACACACATGTGCACATATTTAACTAGAGAATGGCTAGATGGAAATTAATTAGACTTTGTGTGGATGTTATGTTGTAGGCGACAACTATAAATTTATGCTTCTTGATTTTCTATTAGATTGTCCCAGAAAATCTGTATCCGTCTTAACACTGGACTACCTTCAGGTTGAAGTTACCAAGATGAAACTGGTGTCCTAAGATCATGCGCTGTTCTGGAAATATCCATTGCTCTCCTCTCTACATGATTCATGAGGGTGATTCACAAGTTCTTTAAAAGACTGTGTCTACAGCCTTCTGCACTTCTTCCTTGCGTGAGGGTTAGATAGAAAACAGGAAAGAATGGACAGTGGGAATCAGTGTGCATGGACAGCTGATAAAAATAAAAGGAAAAAAAAAATCTGACTAATAACCAAGTAATTTATTCAAATGTATTTCATAATATGAAGAATACTGATAAATTAATATTTTACTCTCTATAATTAAACACGTGTTTATGCAACATTGCATGGAGATGCAAAGGTGATACAGTTCCTATTAAAATTATAACACTGTGAATTTTATAGTGGCACATCACGCACAATAAAATGACAAAAATTTCAACAGAGGTACATGTATACACAATATATTTCTCTAAATATTAACATAACATCAACAGCTGTTTGTAGGCATCTCTTTCTCTATCTGGATCCATCTGCAGTAAATATGCTTCATTCTTCTCTCCATTATTGTAAAACATATTCCCATCATACGAAGGTAGCCGTCTTATAGGCGTAGCAAAGTGCAGTCAGGTCGATACTGACCGACATTTCACAAGAGCTTACTGCCTCCATCATTAAAACTTCAGTCAATATCTACCAGAAAACGTCGTGCTACATCCCAGAAGAGAGCCAGCTTCATATTTGCTAAAGTGAGAACCTCAAATCTCACCCAATCACATCACAAGTACCGCTACAGATTCACTACAAATCAAAGTCCTTTATGCGTATGATGATTGGTATTATGATGAAATATGTACCTTATATTGATTTCCTTACACAAAGTTCAATTTAAATAACAATTATTCTGATGTACTTTAAAGGCCTGTTACTTCCATGATCCTATAATCCTTAGTATACCCTTGCATTGCACCATAATAATCACAAGTTGTACTGATAACATAGTGAAGGACCACAGACTGCAACACACTTCACCTCATACCAGCCAAGAACGGCCACGTTCGGCACATCAGCCTGTAACATCCATGCAGTCTCTTAGGCCATTCCACCTGGAACGAATAAAGGTTAATAAGCAATATGCAGTGGTGTAAAAAAAAATGGTACGAAATGCACTTTTAATTCCAATTCTGTTTTCTCCTTTTCTTTTCACCACTCACTTAAATTCAGTTCCCTCTTGGTTCACTGCCAACAACCTTATGCAGTGTAACAATTGTGGTTCATTTGCAGAATTTGATTCTTGACCTTTGTGAATGACACCAGAGTGCTCTGAGGTCAATGACTTTTGAAAAATTCTGTTTTCTGGGTTGTTGCGCTGTGTAATCTAGTCGATGTTAACCAACGTTTCAGAGGTCATACTGCCTCCGTCATCAGGGCGATGAATATTCATACACAGCGCAACAACCCAGAAGACGGAATTCTTCATACTCAAATCCTACATCAATGACTTTCGTGAGCACGGTGCCTGGTGATGACATTGTCATGATGTATTCACCCAACCAAGGTAACCAGATACATGTCACCTGCTGTCCAGGCACCAATTCAAAAAATTCTCCAATATAAAATTCTAATCAAAATTGGTTTATCCAGTCTCAGGTTGTTTCATGCATACAGAAGGGCAGAATGATTTTAATACATGCTCCACATAGTTGCAAATACAAATAAAAGAGAGGTATTAATTTTTCAAATTAATTAATGCAAATATTTAGAAACTGTACGCTAATTAAATACGGAGTTGGACTACAGAACAAACGGCAATTCCAGGTCACACACACCTTCATGCATCTAGCTGTCAAGCTGATCTGTGTGGTCAAGTGAGTCGAGCGTATCATTGGAACTCGAGTGTGTTAGGTCGCTGAGTTCATCGAGATGTTTCTGCCTCTTACGCACATTCCAATGAAGGCATTCTGCCAGGGAGTCAAACCAGTCAGATATTTGGTCTTGGGCACAGATTGAAGGCACTGGGTAGATGGATGTTGTCACACGAAGGCTGTATAACACAAAACATCCTTTAACTTCATAATTCATTTAGGTATTAACTACAGTTTCTCAGGATCTTCATGAAAGAACTATCTACTGACTAAAGACAGTCAACACTGTTAAGTAATGTAGGATGCCATTTTTGAAACTAATTCTGTCAAGGGGGAGGAGATAAAAAAATTACAATAATCACTTCTTTGTGATGACGTTGTATAATTTAATTCCATTTCAAAACTGGTACTTTAAGTAAAACTCTGAACAATAGACTTCAACGACAATGCTTCACATTTTTGCCAACGGCTGTAGATGGCACCTGTAACCATAATGCAATACACTTGACCATCTTACAACACAACGTCTTGCAATGTGACTGAAACTACAATAAGTCTGCAGTTTTATTCTCTGATTGTTACTTTTTTATGCCAGTAAAAATATCAATAATATGTAAATAAGTTAATATTTTAATGAAAGATAATTTGGTGCTCAGTTTTGGTACACTTTTATTACTTTTGGTGGAAAACACATTTCAATTTTCCTCAATATTATTAAAAGTAAAATTAAGGTTATAATAATTTCCCTGAGAAACAGTGTAAGAATTTAACATTATGAGTCAAATTAAAAACCTGAATTAATACAACATTCCAAATGTCAAAAAATGACGTCATCAACAATATAACCTTATATTTGTTTATACACGGGGGTTAGTTTAGCGTCTTACTCAAGATTTTAAAACGCAAAAAACCCACTGGGGGGGGGGGGGGGGGGGGTTTAAACCTCTGTACTACATGACTGCTAGTGAGACTTTAAATCCATGGTTAATGGTTTAGCAGATGGACCCAAGTATGGTGGAACGCGCAGTCGACAAAGGTCCATTACTATGTAGTTACCTTCAACTGACAGCTATAGGGAAACAAAATAAGTTGAACACATCCACTAGCTCACTGTTAGAAAAAAGTTTTTTAAAAAACCCACCAATCACCAAGACTAGACGAGAGCACGTGCAAGTATATTTACACATATCTGTTAGTGTTAGTAGAAAGATGTTCAATTTGCGTGAAGTAATTAGAAATTATTATGAAACAGATACCACCTTATGAAGGTCACTGCAAGCAGACACGATGAGTAATTCTAGTGCAGTGGTCAGTACAGTCCAAGACATAAAAGTTATAAACAAAGAGCATTATCATCATCTGCCACACAACAGTGACAAAGATCTGAATGATAACACTGGACCAGGATGCTTACTGCTTCAGCAAAAGCTGTTTAATGGCGTGAAAATATTACAATCCAGAAGACAAGGGTGATAAACAAATAATGTCAAGAATATGAGTGAGAGTAAACATTATGCCTAGAATAAGCAGCTCACAGTTCTAGCTACAACTAGTATTTTGTATGTTGTTATTTTCATCAGTTTCCTTCGGTTACAAGTATAAATTAGTGCTAAAACATACGGCAAAAACAAAATCTGAAGATGAAGAGAAAAGAGGACTGCTGTGATACCAACACAAGGAAAAGTAACAGTAAAACAAATTTTCACCAAAGGACTGAGAATTTCCAATGATGAATATTTAAGTTAGAAAAGGACACATACTTATTACATTTATTTGAGTATGACAGCTCCATGAAGAGTAAACAGAATCCAACGAGTCTGACTAACCGACGATTAACACTATCAAAATAGCGCTATACATAAAATTGCTATACTAATTTGATTGTGAATGAAAGAAGATCTTATGTGAAGACAGACCTATCTCCAACATGCATTTCCTGCTGGTAGCGCCCATCAAACGACACACAGGCAGTGCTTCTTGCGTCACTGTTCAGCATTATCTGAAACAGTCGCACATCATGTCACAGTATGTTGTCACCACTAACTTCTCTTATAGCACTGGGCAATGTGTAGCTGTTCCACAAATGAGAACACACGTACTCTTGAATCTCCAGTAGCTGCTGCAGAGAACTTCGGCATGGTAAATGGAACCCAAGGTATCAAAACATAGTGCAGAAGTACAATATGGAAGCTGTCCATCAGCTCCAAACACACTCCTAATATTTTCACTGTTTCCATTAAGAATCCCTATACAGAAGCACAAAAGGAAACTGAACTCACGTAATAAAAGCACGCAAGTCGAGACACTGATCACTGATCTTCACGTTAAGATTTTACAGTTCTGAAAAGGATTTCAACTTTTCAATACTGATTTTTTTGGTAACATTATATAGTATGGAGAACACCCAATAAGTTTCTTCATAAAAATGGTGTCACAAAATTGCCATTACTAAACATTATATAGTATGGAGAACACCCAACAAGTTTCTTCATAAAAATGGTTTCACAAAATTGCCATTACTGGTGCATTATCCACTACTTCTCCGTGTGAGCAATAACTAAAAATTCTGTATACAAATTTTAGACACAAATATTTATAAAATACAACAGTTATGATCCACTTACGTCAGTCCAAAACATTCACATACTTAAATCACCACAGTACTATTGTTCTAAAGTGCATTTTCAACCGAAGAGTACAGAGTGTCTTCTGCCTTTCATAACGGGCAAATATCGCCAGTTCAAGCGGACATACGAGACTACGCAGGGTGCCAATTGCATTATGGCCAGGCTCACCCTTTTGCGAAGATGTTCTGAGCTTCTAACATAACAATAGCCCTCTCAGCACAGACATGAGGAACTGAAGGCAAAAATGTGTGTCGGTCAAATCAGACTATTTTGAAAACAGTTGACACCCCATAATTGAAGTAATTAACCAGATACCAGAAAATCTTACTTTTTATTTGAAGAAATAACTTGTAAATTTAATTGTATAAATTCTGGTTTGCACTTTACATCTGAAATACTAGCTTTATGTCACATTCTACAGTGATATGCAACATGTAAAAGGTTTTGAAAACCACAAGCAAAATAAAAATGGAAAGCTACTCTGTACACCTCATCAAAACTAAAGACGTAACTGTATATATGTACAAAACATGCTTCCTACATATTTTAAATGTTTCAGGGTGAAACTAATTCCCAAGCATTTTATGTTAGGGCATTTGAGAGTCTCCAAATTCCAAAGTTTACTCCTGAAACACCACAGTGACACAACTCCACAGAGGAAATAACCAAACTCGATTTACGTTTTATTTCTTCATCTGCAAACAATGTCATTGGTCCAAGAAACAAACGTGAACTTCCATCTTTAATGAGGGAACAGGAGCCAGGTCATGCTAAGACTGTCCAACATCTAACAGAGCCACCATTCTATGTACAATGCAGGCACCACATGCAATGAGCTATCTTCATCAGATTGGTCCCAGGCAGACATCCAACACAATTCACACAAGCAAATACGTGGTGGGCACTCTACAGCACAGGGCGAAACCTCACCTACCTATCACCATGAAACAGCTCTTGCCGGTTGCGCCCGTCGAATGACACCCACGACGTGTTCCTGCTATCAGGAGACACTGAGATCTAGAAAAAAGTAGTGTTACAGTGCTGTAAAATGTACATAAGAAGCAACTCTGACACATGGGATTTTAGGTTGTCACGGCAGTGAAAATGTTGATGTTCTTCTGGGTTTTAGCACTGTGTGGACCTGTATGTCAATACCAACATTTCAGAGAAACACGCTTCCTTCATCTCGTAATGCCGTCTAGACATCGGCTGATGAAGGAGGCAATGTGTTTCTCTTAAAATACCGGTATCTACTTACAAGTCCACAAACCATTACAACCCAGAAGACCAACATCAACAAATCTGATACAGTTTAACTTCTTCAAAGTTACGGTTTTCTTAATTTTGTTACTGTTCTGTTTTCCAGATACACGTGTCATTCAATTTACTCATAAAATATCACACTCATTCTTATTATGATGAGTGATTATTAAACTGTTTCTTTGTTAATTTAATAATGGTTTCTCAACTGCATAGGTTATAAAAATTAAAAATTAAATTGGTAGTGTAAGAGCTCCAGAGAGCCAAAGCCGACTAGCTGGCTGCTGGCCTCACGTTCACATGCCTAAGCAGAGGTGAACGATCATCCAACCAGATATAGGGTGACGTGTGGTTAGCACGACGAACCCCAGCCATTGCTAGCTTTCCTGACCGGATTACGCTACTCATTGTAGCTCCCCAATTTCGTCACGATGCTGGGTTGGCACCGGTCCCATACACTGGTCGAAAGCTCATGAGAAAATTTCTTTTCCCCTGAGACTCGAACCAGCGCGCATTCCGTATCGCCGGTCCGACGCACGATGCCTCAGACCGCGCGACTATGGCGCAGGGCACTACATAGGTTATACTGAATCAAATTAAAAAGAATTATGAACCGGATGGAATGTGGAATGAAATGAAAGGTCTCTTGTAAAGCAGTTTCACAGTATCTGTCTAGAGGAGTAACAAAAACAAAAGCACTTCAGCCTCTGGGCTGAGAACTGAACAGAAGACAAAGCTATTCGCTGGACCTGGCCTGGAAACGGGCTTCGTTGATTCCGTTTAATGCTGTGAAAAACATAAATCAAGGCACTGCACAGCATTACACAAATGTGAGTACTTACTTCTAATAATTTATTTTCTTTCTATAGCTCACAATGTAATGCAAGACACTTTTATGTATGTCTAAACAGAACTGTTATTTCCAGCACAGAACACAATATTTAAATTTCAGATGGTAATATCTCTAGAGGCATAAGGAGAAGATGAAGCAGAAGAACATCTCTTAAAAAATTAAGTGTGAGTTCCAAAATATTCCTAGAAAACATGCTCTAAGTCTAAGATAGATTAGCTTCTAAATTCATGCATTCACTTTTCTTGCAATTATGGAAGTTCCGTATGACATGACTGGGTAATGCATGTATATTATTAATATTAGAATAATATAAAGGAAGCACAAAAATAATATAAATCTGCACAAATTAATAACATTATCACAAATAATATGTCCAGAAAAATAATATGTTACTGGGAACTTCTCACTGATTATTAATTTGCTAAGTAAACATTTAATCCAGGTGATGAATGTTTATGAGACACATAAACAAAAATTAAGTGTCATCATGTTCGGTCCTAAGTAACTAATCCAACTAGTACAGTACTCACAACCTATGAATATACGATCCATCTTAATGTTATCTTTCCATCTCTTTCTTGGTCTTCCAAGGGGATGTCTATCCAAAACAAGACTAACCCTTTCTTGTTTCTCCCATACTAGCCACATGTCGAGCCCACCTAAGCATACGAGATTTCACCATCACAATGACAGGTGACTTGTATAAATCATTAAGTTCCTCATTATTTCGTGTCTTAAATCTATTACTTACATCTTTCTTCCAAGGCCCAAGTTTTTCCTGAGCACTGTCTTGCAACATCTGTATTTTATGTTCTTGTAACAGATCATGTTTCAAACCCATGCAAAAAGAAACCAGCATTGTTCTGTATATAACTTCATAACTTAAACTAACTTAACCTGACTTACCAATATTTAATTTTAACTATTATTATTGCATTACCTTTAGTTCAACTCCTGCAGGGACCACAATGGGCCTGAAAGAGAGAGAGTGCGGACAGATTGGAGTGACCATGATGGCCGGGACACTGGGGTGGATCATGGATGCTCCAGCTGCTACTGCATAAGCCGTGCTTCCGGTTGGCGTCGAAACGATGAGACCTTGAAATGAAACGGATTACAATACAGGCCAAGACTTAGCTTAACGTTCAACAAGTTAGGGAGCGTGTGTACAGCACAACAATTCTGGTTTGCTTCCCAGGAATTTCATATTTAATGCTTATGAATTGTGCCACTGACATCATAGTTGTGTGACACTTATGAACGTGTATGCAGGAAGTCTGACTAGAAATTCCCCAGCTAACCACAATTACTAAGGTAATGTGGCAATTCTCCATATGGGGATTTCACACCCAAGCATTTCTGCACACAAAAATGCACAATTACATTAATCACGGTCATTTCATGTAAGCAAGGATGCAGATTTCCTAAGCAAATCCACACCAACATTCTGACTCACCGTCGCCCTGCACTGATGTGATGTGTTTGCCGTCCAGGAAGAGATCAATGTTAGAGAGGTAAGGCGAAGGTCCTCGGTCAATCACCACTTCGTTAAGTACGAGGAGATTTGTGGGAGGTTTTGATGATTTGCTTAGTTCATCATTCTTCCTCATAATGATGCACCTCAGTCTACTTCGAAGCGTTAATGCTGCGTGTCCTGCAAGGAGAAATCATTCACCACTTGGCAAATTATTATTTTCTTTGCTGGAACTTAACACAACACGTGCTACTTTTTATTTCCCAAGCACATGGTATGGATACGCTACTGAGTCAACACATTAAAACTATCTTTACTTAGTGGCGTAGTCTTAAAAATATATGTTCTGAGGTGGCGTGGGAGGAGTGGAGGTATAGCTCCTACTCATTCTTGACCTCGGCACACTAGATGGGGGTGAATGGTTGGCATCACGCCCCAGCCTCGCTTTACCCCCGGGAAGGACTCCAGTACCCACTGGATAGGAAGCCAGTCTGGATGCAGAAGCTGGAGGAAAAATCCTCTGCCCCCGTCAGGATTCGAGGCCTGGTCGTCCAGCCCGTAGCTAGTCACTATACCGACTGAGCTATCCCGGCTCCCTTTATACACTAACTCAGTACTGAAATCCTAAAGTCTACCACAAAACAGTCTACTATAAAATATCACATACCTTCCAACACATTTGTAACTTGCTCCTGGAAGTTGTCAAATTCAAATGGCGTGAGAAATCCCAAGGAACCAAGATGAAATGCCATGACAGGTGGCACAGATTGCTGAGAAAAATACATTTCAATTTTCAGTGCGTTTAGTTTTCAATTACATTTCGAGTTAAACACATCTAAAACTGCAAAATAACATAACCCGAAGCCATTTTAATATCATCACATATGTAACTATATTACATATGTGACTTGGTAGCGTATCGTTTATTTTTGTAACATATAAGATGTGGGTGCAAACTTCATATCAACAAAAATTAATAAATATAAAAAGTTATTACTGAGGTGTACGATAAAAGAATGAAGAAGGTAGACTAGATGTATATCAGACAGTTAAACGCCAGCTTCTCCCCAGAGGACCAGGTTCAAAATGAGAGAAATAAAACCACGTGGGATATGCGACTGGTGCAAGCAGCCAATTCTGTACCTGGAACAACAAACTGGCATACAGAAGTGTTCCATCACCACCAAGACAAATGATGAAGTCAATCTTGTCGGTGAGATCATCCTTTCCATCTCGGAATGTCATGAGCTTGTCCTTCACGACCGAGAAGCTCGGATTGTTGACGAGCAAGGTGTCATCCATAACTGTTTGCTCCACAAACACAACCATGTGCTTCTCCTGAAAATAAAACGTGGTACTCGGATCATCACGTGGCGTGTTTTTAAATCAGATCACCTGGCTTGATGGGATGCATTCAAAGAGAAACCTAACATGCCATTATCTGCCCTTCCCGCCTCATCCTTCTTGAATTAAACGCCCTAACAAAAGTGTGAAATTATTAAACTCCTCATTATGTAATTTTTCCTGTATTTCATCTTTCTTAACTTCAAATATCCCAAACATTTGTTCTTAAATGTTCTCAATCTAAAACAACAAGTGCATTTCCTTTCATTTTAATGAACTGGAATGATACTGACCTCGATTAGCCAGTTGACAAGTTGGACAAATGGTTGAAGTACCGACACATCTCGAACCTTCTTGATGACAAGAACTGTTAGCGGTGGCTTGTACCAGGTGAGCCTCTGGCTTGCGGGATCCTGTATCGTCCTGGAAGCATACAGCACGCAATCAAGAACCTCAGAGGCACAATTCTGCAGACAAATGGGTGGCAATGCTGCCAATCGCAGATGACACCAAAAATGAAACAACAGTGGACCTTTTAACAGTCGACCTCAGCGGTCTAGTGGTAGCGTGCACCCAAAGTTTCTGGGTTCAAACCCGGCCGAAGTCGATGGACTTTTAAGGGTGGTAAAAATCCGTAGCACAACTTCCTTCGGAGGGGCCGGCGGTCCCATGTCGTAGATTTACGTCATGTAAAAGAACCTTACGAGCATGATACGAAACGTTTCGTAAGTAAAACTCAGCGACCAGTAATCGAATTCAGCGCGACCTAGTGATAAAGCGGTCAGACTGATAAAGAGTTCTGCGTATAAAAGTAACTTTTCTGTCGTAAAACATTCTCAAAGTGCGCATTATCGAAACCATAACTTTTCGAGCATGACAGACGTCAAATGACGATTTACTGCCTTCAACACTGGTCTTCGCGTAGGAAAAGTCAGCAGTCAGCTGATAAGGACAGCGGCGCGTCTGCCGACACCACGGGGAAAAGCTGTCCTCATGTCACTTTTACAAGACGTGACAATTAACCGGACTGGCGTTTACGTGCAACACTGGTATGAAGCCGCCTGCTGGATCATGACGAGAAAACTGTTCGCGTATCGAAAATCCATATGTGACGTGATGTGATGTACAGACAACAAGATTCACTGAAAAAATACTGTGAAAATCACATCTGAAATATAAACATTTTTCTTTCCTTTTATATGTGACCGCTGAATTTCCTTTCTTTCTTAACTCTTACCATTTATTTTATTTTATAAGTCTCTCTATCTGCACCAACTGTATTAAATAAACATATTATTGCTGGAATATTAATTACACTTACACGTTAACGGCGTAGAATTTTATATTTTGTTGAATCTTTCCGTGTTTCGCCCGGCATATCTCGCTCAAAAACAAACTTTTCATTCTTTAACGGTATTTTATAGGTGATCAACCAAGAAAACAGAAAAACTCCCGTCATCCCTGACCTGTTAATTCAGCAATGAAAATAAAATAGATCCAAACAGAAGACGGATTGCCAATGAAATAAAACAATTGAATGGGTTAACCCGCCTGGCTTCCGGTTACTTGGGCGCGGTGCTGTCCTGTCGTCAAGGGAAGTTATCAAGAAACACCTTACAGCACCCAAATCCGGAAACAAAAAAATATACTTTGACACGAGGCAGTGAACGTGCTTATACTAAGCGAAAGGTGTGTTCACTGATAAAGTTTCCCGGTTGTAAACGCACGACTCATCGCCAAAGGTCAAGCCTCGTTCCATAAAAGTCACAAAATCGACGAGCATATATGACAGCAGTTCCAGCCAAACTTTATCAGCGGACAATCGCATCTCAAGAGCGACGCTGGTCCTTGAACCAAGAATACGAGAAACACTTACATAACCATCGCGGAGTTCTTCATGATCCGGCCGCAGGGCCCAAACTGCTGGATTGGACTCGGGGCATTCAAGGACCGGGTTCGCCTGCAAACCAGATAAAATTCTTGATTAGGGCGAGCACAAATCCTCCTCACACAGCCAAAGTCACGCCATTCTTAAGGCACGTGAATTAGGACTAAAGTCATCTCTTTGGAAAGACAACTGTTCTGACGTTGTCCGACGACCATCGAGACAAGGTCTCGGCAGAAAATTATCTCCAGGGCATGCCCCTATAATTTGACACTACAGTTATGTTTTAAAAATGAAGTAATTTAAACAAAATGAATCATCGTAAAAACATGTTTATAAAAGAAACACGAATTACTGTACTTTTATTTTCCGTCGTTACACAAGCTTATTGTTAAAATCATATAAAATTTTTCACATAAAATTGTTACATTTTAAAATTGACGACATGTTTCGATATACAATTCTATCATCGTCAGGTCTATCAAAATTAAAATTAAAATCTGGTGTATCTGTTGCTCTGCTTATATTGCTTATGTTTTATCCGTTTTTATTACATCTCCAGGCTTCTTTCATTTAATTTTGGAGACGCGTCTGGGTGCCTATATCTGCAAAATCAATTTTAATTTTCATATCGTGATTCTGGCTACCGACATAGGAAATGGAATAATATTACTCTAATTTTATATTATTTTAAGGAATTACTCAAATATATCGTAATACAAGCAAAAGAAATACAATCACAAAATATAAAGTATTATAACATACCGGGTTGTGTGTGAGGTGCGTGTCCGTTGTTATTGAATGGCAGACAGCAACTGAGTTGTAGGTATCGTGTGTAGCTATATATATTGGGTGAAAGTTGTTTAGGGGGTTGGGTCAATGGACTGTAGAATGTTAAATATCGGATTGTTCGTGTAAATGTTGCTGTCGTTTAGTGCAAGGTTTTGTTTATGTGTTCTTTGTATATGATATTTCTCTATGGTGTCTCTATGTCGTTTGTTTTGTATTATTTTTATAATGTCCATTGTATGTTCTATTTTGTTGTATGAATGTCCTGTGTTTAATATATGCTTTGCATATGCTGAATGGTCTTTATTATGTTTTATTGCTGTAATATGCTCTTTATATCTTTGATTAAAGGTGCGTCCAGTTTGGCCTATATAGGTTAACGGGCAATCATTGCATTTTAACCTATATATGCCTGGTTTTTCGTATTGATTTGTTGTGTCTATTTGTGGTTTTTGTTTCAAGATGTTTTTTATAGTGTTTTTTGTTCTAAATGCTATTTTTATGTTATTTGTTTTAAATGTTTTTGTTATATATTTGGTTTCTTTTCCTATATATGTGAATGTGGCCCATTTGTTTTGTTTATTTTCGTTTCCGTCTTCATTTATGTTGTTTATATTGTTTATTTTATTTTTGGGTTTTAATTCATAATTATTATATCCGTTTTCTATTAGAATTTGTTTTATTGTGTTACATTCAATTTGTTTGTTTACTGTGGTTATGGGATATGTATTTTTTCTGTTTATTAAGTAGTTAATAGCCATCTGTTTATGTTCATTCGGATGGCATGAAGAGGCATGAATTATGGTGCTTGTATTTGTGGGCTTTCTGTATATTTTGAATTCGAAGTTATTTTCGTTTCGTATTATAGTTAGATCTAAATAATTTAATTTGTTATTTTGTTCTTTTTCTAAAGTGAATTGTATATTTTGATTTATGTTGTTAAATTCATTTAAAACATTTTTTATGTCTGGCAGAGGTGAACGATCATCCAACCAGATATAGGGTGACGTGTGGTTAGCACGACGAACCCCAGCCATTGCTAGCTTTCCTGACCGGATTACGCTACTCATTGTAGCTCCCCAATTTCGTCACGATGCTGGGTTGGCACCGGTCCCATACACCGGTCGAAAGCTCATGAGAAAATTTCTTTTCCCCTGAGACTCGAACCAGCGCGCATTCCGTATCGCCGGTCCGACGCACGATGCCTCAGACCGCGCGACTATGGCGCAGGGCACTACATAGGTTATACTGAATCAAATTAAAAAGAATTATGAACCGGATGGAATGTGGAATGAAATGAAAGGTCTCTTGTAAAGCAGTTTCACAGTATCTGTCTAGAGGAGTAACAAAAACAAAAGCACTTCAGCCTCTGGGCTGAGAACTGAACAGAAGACAAAGCTATTCGCTGGACCTGGCCTGGAAACGGGCTTCGTTGATTCCGTTTAATGCTGTGAAAAACATAAATCAAGGCACTGCACAGCATTACACAAATGTGAGTACTTACTTCTAATAATTTATTTTCTTTCTATAGCTCACAATGTAATGCAAGACACTTTTATGTATGTCTAAACAGAACTGTTATTTCCAGCACAGAACACAATATTTAAATTTCAGATGGTAATATCTCTAGAGGCATAAGGAGAAAAATTAAGTGTGAGTTCCAAAATATTCCTAGAAAACATGCTCTAAGTCTAAGATAGATTAGCTTCTAAATTCATGCATTCACTTTTCTTGCAATTATGGAAGTTCCGTATGACATGACTGGGTAATGCATGTATATTATTAATATTAGAATAATATAAAGGAAGCACAAAAATAATATAAATCTGCACAAATTAATAACATTATCACAAATAATATGTCCAGAAAAATAATATGTTACTGGGAACTTCTCACTGATTATTAATTTGCTAAGTAAACATTTAATCCAGGTGATGAATGTTTATGAGACACATAAACAAAAATTAAGTGTCATCATGTTCGGTCCTAAGTAACTAATCCAACTAGTACAGTACTCACAACCTATGAATATACGATCCATCTTAATGTTATCTTTCCATCTCTTTCTTGGTCTTCCAAGGGGATGTCTATCCAAAACAAGACTAACCCTTTCTTGTTTCTCCCATACTAGCCACATGTCGAGCCCACCTAAGCATACGAGATTTCACCATCACAATGACAGGTGACTTGTATAAATCATTAAGTTCCTCATTATTTCGTGTCTTAAATCTATTACTTACATCTTTCTTCCAAGGCCCAAGTTTTTCCTGAGCACTGTCTTGCAACATCTGTATTTTATGTTCTTGTAACAGATCATGTTTCAAACCCATGCAAAAAGAAACCAGCATTGTTCTGTATATAACTTCATAACTTAAACTAACTTAACCTGACTTACCAATATTTAATTTTAACTATTATTATTGCATTACCTTTAGTTCAACTCCTGCAGGGACCACAATGGGCCTGAAAGAGAGAGAGTGCGGACAGATTGGAGTGACCATGATGGCCGGGACACTGGGGTGGATCATGGATGCTCCAGCTGCTACTGCATAAGCCGTGCTTCCGGTTGGCGTCGAAACGATGAGACCTTGAAATGAAACGGATTACAATACAGGCCAAGACTTAGCTTAACGTTCAACAAGTTAGGGAGCGTGTGTACAGCACAACAATTCTGGTTTGCTTCCCAGGAATTTCATATTTAATGCTTATGAATTGTGCCACTGACATCATAGTTGTGTGACACTTATGAACGTGTATGCAGGAAGTCTGACTAGAAATTCCCCAGCTAACCACAATTACTAAGGTAATGTGGCAATTCTCCATATGGGGATTTCACACCCAAGCATTTCTGCACACAAAAATGCACAATTACATTAATCACGGTCATTTCATGTAAGCAAGGATGCAGATTTCCTAAGCAAATCCACACCAACATTCTGACTCACCGTCGCCCTGCACTGATGTGATGTGTTTGCCGTCCAGGAAGAGATCAATGTTAGAGAGGTAAGGCGAAGGTCCTCGGTCAATCACCACTTCGTTAAGTACGAGGAGATTTGTGGGAGGTTTTGATGATTTGCTTAGTTCATCATTCTTCCTCATAATGATGCACCTCAGTCTACTTCGAAGCGTTAATGCTGCGTGTCCTGCAAGGAGAAATCATTCACCACTTGGCAAATTATTATTTTCTTTGCTGGAACTTAACACAACACGTGCTACTTTTTATTTCCCAAGCACATGGTATGGATACGCTACTGAGTCAACACATTAAAACTATCTTTACTTAGTGGCGTAGTCTTAAAAATATATGTTCTGAGGTGGCGTGGGAGGAGTGGAGGTATAGCTCCTACTCATTCTTGACCTCGGCACACTAGATGGGGGTGAATGGTTGGCATCACGCCCCAGCCTCGCTTTACCCCCGGGAAGGACTCCAGTACCCACTGGATAGGAAGCCAGTCTGGATGCAGAAGCTGGAGGAAAAATCCTCTGCCCCCGTCAGGATTCGAGGCCTGGTCGTCCAGCCCGTAGCTAGTCACTATACCGACTGAGCTATCCCGGCTCCCTTTATACACTAACTCAGTACTGAAATCCTAAAGTCTACCACAAAACAGTCTACTATAAAATATCACATACCTTCCAACACATTTGTAACTTGCTCCTGGAAGTTGTCAAATTCAAATGGCGTGAGAAATCCCAAGGAACCAAGATGAAATGCCATGACAGGTGGCACAGATTGCTGAGAAAAATACATTTCAATTTTCAGTGCGTTTAGTTTTCAATTACATTTCGAGTTAAACACATCTAAAACTGCAAAATAACATAACCCGAAGCCATTTTAATATCATCACATATGTAACTATATTACATATGTGACTTGGTAGCGTATCGTTTATTTTTGTAACATATAAGATGTGGGTGCAAACTTCATATCAACAAAAATTAATAAATATAAAAAGTTATTACTGAGGTGTACGATAAAAGAATGAAGAAGGTAGACTAGATGTATATCAGACAGTTAAACGCCAGCTTCTCCCCAGAGGACCAGGTTCAAAATGAGAGAAATAAAACCACGTGGGATATGCGACTGGTGCAAGCAGCCAATTCTGTACCTGGAACAACAAACTGGCATACAGAAGTGTTCCATCACCACCAAGACAAATGATGAAGTCAATCTTGTCGGTGAGATCATCCTTTCCATCTCGGAATGTCATGAGCTTGTCCTTCACGACCGAGAAGCTCGGATTGTTGACGAGCAAGGTGTCATCCATAACTGTTTGCTCCACAAACACAACCATGTGCTTCTCCTGAAAATAAAACGTGGTACTCGGATCATCACGTGGCGTGTTTTTAAATCAGATCACCTGGCTTGATGGGATGCATTCAAAGAGAAACCTAACATGCCATTATCTGCCCTTCCCGCCTCATCCTTCTTGAATTAAACGCCCTAACAAAAGTGTGAAATTATTAAACTCCTCATTATGTAATTTTTCCTGTATTTCATCTTTCTTAACTTCAAATATCCCAAACATTTGTTCTTAAATGTTCTCAATCTAAAACAACAAGTGCATTTCCTTTCATTTTAATGAACTGGAATGATACTGACCTCGATTAGCCAGTTGACAAGTTGGACAAATGGTTGAAGTACCGACACATCTCGAACCTTCTTGATGACAAGAACTGTTAGCGGTGGCTTGTACCAGGTGAGCCTCTGGCTTGCGGGATCCTGTATCGTCCTGGAAGCATACAGCACGCAATCAAGAACCTCAGAGGCACAATTCTGCAGACAAATGGGTGGCAATGCTGCCAATCGCAGATGACACCAAAAATGAAACAACAGTGGACCTTTTAACAGTCGACCTCAGCGGTCTAGTGGTAGCGTGCACCCAAAGTTTCTGGGTTCAAACCCGGCCGAAGTCGATGGACTTTTAAGGGTGGTAAAAATCCGTAGCACAACTTCCTTCGGAGGGGCCGGCGGTCCCATGTCGTAGATTTACGTCATGTAAAAGAACCTTACGAGCATGATACGAAACGTTTCGTAAGTAAAACTCAGCGACCAGTAATCGAATTCAGCGCGACCTAGTGATAAAGCGGTCAGACTGATAAAGAGTTCTGCGTATAAAAGTAACTTTTCTGTCGTAAAACATTCTCAAAGTGCGCATTATCGAAACCATAACTTTTCGAGCATGACAGACGTCAAATGACGATTTACTGCCTTCAACACTGGTCTTCGCGTAGGAAAAGTCAGCAGTCAGCTGATAAGGACAGCGGCGCGTCTGCCGACACCACGGGGAAAAGCTGTCCTCATGTCACTTTTACAAGACGTGACAATTAACCGGACTGGCGTTTACGTGCAACACTGGTATGAAGCCGCCTGCTGGATCATGACGAGAAAACTGTTCGCGTATCGAAAATCCATATGTGACGTGATGTGATGTACAGACAACAAGATTCACTGAAAAAATACTGTGAAAATCACATCTGAAATATAAACATTTTTCTTTCCTTTTATATGTGACCGCTGAATTTCCTTTCTTTCTTAACTCTTACCATTTATTTTATTTTATAAGTCTCTCTATCTGCACCAACTGTATTAAATAAACATATTATTGCTGGAATATTAATTACACTTACACGTTAACGGCGTAGAATTTTATATTTTGTTGAATCTTTCCGTGTTTCGCCCGGCATATCTCGCTCAAAAACAAACTTTTCATTCTTTAACGGTATTTTATAGGTGATCAACCAAGAAAACAGAAAAACTCCCGTCATCCCTGACCTGTTAATTCAGCAATGAAAATAAAATAGATCCAAACAGAAGACGGATTGCCAATGAAATAAAACAATTGAATGGGTTAACCCGCCTGGCTTCCGGTTACTTGGGCGCGGTGCTGTCCTGTCGTCAAGGGAAGTTATCAAGAAACACCTTACAGCACCCAAATCCGGAAACAAAAAAATATACTTTGACACGAGGCAGTGAACGTGCTTATACTAAGCGAAAGGTGTGTTCACTGATAAAGTTTCCCGGTTGTAAACGCACGACTCATCGCCAAAGGTCAAGCCTCGTTCCATAAAAGTCACAAAATCGACGAGCATATATGACAGCAGTTCCAGCCAAACTTTATCAGCGGACAATCGCATCTCAAGAGCGACGCTGGTCCTTGAACCAAGAATACGAGAAACACTTACATAACCATCGCGGAGTTCTTCATGATCCGGCCGCAGGGCCCAAACTGCTGGATTGGACTCGGGGCATTCAAGGACCGGGTTCGCCTGCAAACCAGATAAAATTCTTGATTAGGGCGAGCACAAATCCTCCTCACACAGCCAAAGTCACGCCATTCTTAAGGCACGTGAATTAGGACTAAAGTCATCTCTTTGGAAAGACAACTGTTCTGACGTTGTCCGACGACCATCGAGACAAGGTCTCGGCAGAAAATTATCTCCAGGGCATGCCCCTATAATTTGACACTACAGTTATGTTTTAAAAATGAAGTAATTTAAACAAAATGAATCATCGTAAAAACATGTTTATAAAAGAAACACGAATTACTGTACTTTTATTTTCCGTCGTTACACAAGCTTATTGTTAAAATCATATAAAATTTTTCACATAAAATTGTTACATTTTAAAATTGACGACATGTTTCGATATACAATTCTATCATCGTCAGGTCTATCAAAATTAAAATTAAAATCTGGTGTATCTGTTGCTCTGCTTATATTGCTTTTGTTTTTATCCGTTTTTATTACATCTCCAGGCTTCTTTCATTTAATTTTGGAGACGCGCCTGGGTGCCTATATCGGGTTGTGTGTGAGGTGCGTGTCCGTTGTTATTGAATGGCAGACAGCAACAGAGCAGAGTTGTAATAAAAACGGATAAAAACAAAAGCAATATAAGCAGAGCAACAGATACACCAGATTTTAATTTTAATTTTGATAGACCTGACGATGATAGAATTGTATATCGAAACATGTCGTCAATTTTAAAATGTAACAATTTTATGTGAAAAATTTTATATGATTTTAACAATAAGCTTGTGTAACGACGGAAAATAAAAGTATTGTATTGAGGAACACAAGCATGATGCAATTAAGATATAAGCTGTACGAATTACTGCAAATATTTTCCGTGTTTCAGGATGGTTTCTGTTTATCACTGACATTTACTTCTAGATGAAAAAGGAATGGAAAAAATAGAAAGAAGAAGAAGAAGAAGAAGACCAGTCCGCATTTTCACATTTGTTAACTTTCATGTGACGGAGATGTCCAGAGCTTCCACAAAATACTCGCACCTCGTAAATGAATGCAATGAGACAGAGTTACAGAATAAACTGCCACCTACAAATAACAAACAACATAGAGAAAAGATTTCTGTCTTCTGGGTTGTTGCGCCGTGTAGTCTGGTAGAAGTGCACCGACGTTTCAGAGGTCCCAGCTGCCTTCATCATCAGGGTGACCGCCCTGATGACGGAGGCACGGACAGTGTGCATACATTTCGGGTTCAGCATCACGTAAGAGTAAAAATTACACACCTGTTTCGTCTGGGATGTGTCGCACGTGTAAATGATACTGCTTAAACAGGTACAAATGAGCGTGCTTTTATCAAGCAAAGGCCGAGGCCTTGGGAACCTCGTGACAAGATAAGGCGAACTTCTGCAGTGAACAGAACATTCATCATGACCAAGCCTTCCCTTTGTTGTAGCTGCTGATAATTAAAAATACACACGGTTTTCCCAAATTACTCTCTTCACATTCAACATCGGCACTAACAAACATGGCGGTCGAGAGTATGGAATGCCTGCTTCGTAGTCGGCAAGACCCGAGTTCAAATTTCGGTCTGGAGATCGGTTACCCTGACTAAAATTTCTCATGATTTTCCTCAGCCACTGAAAGTAAATTTCAGTATAGTACCTTTCATTAGGCCTCAACAACTCCTTCCATACCCTCACAATTAACTGATAACCCTTAAACCGCGTTAACCAGTTGATCTACGTAATGGTGAAGTGTTGTGTTTTCTTCGCGGTACGGACTGAAGTCGTAAATATTTGATCGAGTTTCGACTTCAAAAGAGTTAAATCCAATCAGTTACTATAGCATTCAGAAATAAAGAACAGAATGTAGATCTTTACACTGTTCTCGTTGGCAGTTTCATCATGACAGACAAAACTCACGTCAGGCCCTGCTGGTGTTGCGGTAAGCACGTGGTCCTCCGACTCTTCGCGGCTACCAACAACCAGGGACCGTCGATTCTCTTCAACCAAGTCGAAGCTCGGGGTCTGTCATCCCCAGGCAGTGCAAGCAACCGACTGCTATCACCTCTTATCAATCCAACCCATGCACACTGCATTATCAGAGATAAAACATTATCTCAAGTTCAACAACGACGAACGTACCTGAAGTATAACTACACTCACGTGGCCCTTACATGACAACTGCTGCGTTGCCCTTCCTGAAAAACTCACCCTTAAAACGATTAACTCCATGCAGGAGAGTCCTTGAGAAACTGACAATCGCTCAGCTGGTCAAACAATTT